CATCACTTTCCTTAGTCCTTCTCCTGCAAGCAAAAAATATTCATTGTGTCCCAGGAGTCCTAGGCCAAACAAGGTCCCAGCGTCATTTGACTTTCTTGGGGCACAGGTTGTTTGTGTGGCTACCCTTCTTCTTGAGGAATTTGACCACACAGGGGTGCAGGTGTGGGCAGCACTTATGGGCAGCAGTACATGGCTTTTTCACAGTTGTGTTTCTGGAGAAATTGGCAAAGGAATGGCTCTATGAGGCCACCACGCAGGCACAGCACCAATGAACAGTAGGACTCTTTCTGGACCTTGGTGTTGGCCAGGGTGCAGCTGTGTTCTATCTGCTGGCAGCTAACACCAGCTGCTGCTGGTCAGGTGGGATGCCTTCCTTGTCTTGGACCTCAGCCTTGATATTCTATATGAAGTCACCGGGCTAAGCCTGGAGGGTGATGGTCTTACACTTCAGGGCTTTGCCAAATATCAGCATATTTGTGTCTGTTTGGTGACCTAATTCAAGAGAAAGAGAGCTCAGTAAAAATATCTTATTTCCCTTTCCTTTTGGTGCCAGGGATTGATGGCAGGGCCTCCAGTATTCTAAGAACATACTCGACCCCTGAGCTACACTCACTTTATCCTGCAATGGTAAATTTCTGATCTTACTTTAATTTTTTTCATTTGTTATCATTTTCTTACTTTTATGCACTTAATTATTCTTGTTGTAGATTTTGAAAAGGCTCTCTCTGTGGAGCTCTGGCAGTCCTGGAACTGGTTATGTAGGCCACGCTGGGTTGGAACTAACAGAAATAAATCCTCCTGCTTCTGCTTCCAAGTGTTTGGATTAAAGGTGTGGGCCACCAAACCTGGCCAAGGTCTTAAGATCTTAATTGTTTAAAAATGTCCAATCAGCTGGACACGTGCCCACGAGGGCGAAGCCAAGCGCACCAGGTGAGCAGCGATGTCAGGATGTATTGTGTTTTGATGGAATCCACCTTCCCACCCCTCCATTCTCCCTCACCCTCCCTGGCTGGTTCCTTTTCACTGACCTGCTTTTCTTTCTTCCTTTTTTTTTTGGTTTTTTGAGACAGGGTTTCTCTGTGTAGCATTGGTGCCTGTCCTAGATCATGCTCTGTAGACCAGGCTGGCCTGGAACTCATAGAGATCTCCCAAGTATGGGGAATAAAGGTGTGCACCACCGCTGCCCTGACTGATTTTTCCTTTTGATTCCTTCTGTGACCTTCTAGTTGTTGAAAATCCACTGACTTTCCTTACACACCTGTCTATTTTCTTCCATGCAGCTCAATTTGTGCTTCCCATATTCTTGGGCATAATTCCCAGGGCCACACCATTAAAGAAACTGATTCTGCCTCTCCCAGTAGATATCACATGCCAATAGCTCTTCATCTATGGGTGGGCTCTTTACCCATCTCCCATCACCATACTGGATTTGTTCTGCATTGAGCTTGCATGGGGCTTGTAGATGTCATCACAACCACTGTGGTCTCAAATGTTCGACTATTCTGCAGTGTCCAGAAAAGTTTGTCATCATCCACCATGTGTTGGCTGTAAAAATTTTCAGCCTCCTCTTCAGTAATGATCCCATGCCAGGAGTGTGTCACATGGGGAAAATTCTCTAACTTAGCATTATTTAAGATGGGTTTATGGCACAAACATTTCCTGTTTGTCACATGGAGAATTGTACAGAGGTCAGTGAAGATTTCCCCCTTTTGTTGCTGAGCCCCAAAACATCCTTAATTTCCTCTCTGTATCAATGTCAATATGAATAATTACCATCCTGTATGTCTGTCTGTGTATGCCCTTTACTACACCAGAAAAGTGCTCAGTGGGTAAAGTACTTGTGTGAAATTCTTAGATGTCAGGTTTTGATTCACAGTACTGCATAAACCTGATGTTGTGGCTCAAGTCTTTTACTAATCATTCAGTAGGCAGAGCTAAGAGTATTGGGAGTTTAAGGACATTCTTACTATGCAATGTGTTGGGATCAGCCTGGGCTATATCAGGCTCTCTCTCATAAAAGGAAAGAAAAATATCATCTAGTGTATGTGGTAAACATGATCAAATACATTTTATGCATGTAATTATATTCAAAGAAATAGTGAATATATATTTAGTATAAAGCTCCCATACTGTGGATATGTCCCAAGTATTTCATCACATCCATTTCTAAGGGGACATTCCTCTCCCAGCCTCCGTGTCTTTGCATCCCTGTGAGTTGTCAATATCCAGCATGTCACATGGCTAGAATGTCTCTTTCCTATTGATTTCATGGGCTGCTGTTTTTCCTGACCTGAGAAGAAGTGATGGGACATGCCATTTGAACCAGTCAGGTTTTCACTGAGTGCTGTGAGTTCACTCATAATTACCTCCCAAAAGGCATCACTGTCAGTGAGAAGACATGCTGCCCTCTTCTGGTTGTGTAGCAGAAGTTCCCACAGAGCATTTGCATCTGACTTGTAATCTGGAGTGTTAGCACCTGGGCTTTGCTCTGCAATTTGTGATTGTTATCTTTTGTGTTCGAAAACCTCTGTTTGAAGTATGTAAATCTTATCTGAGTTCTTCCTGAGAGGTTCAAACCTATGCATGACTTGGTTGTAGTAGGATTCAGAAAATAGACATCCTGGGCCTGAGAATTGCTTTGGCATTTGTCTTCTCTGGGAAGCTTCAGATAAAAGTTTTGGTTTGGGAAAATTGACTTGTCAGTTGTACAACAATAAAAGCCTTTTGCAAATCAAAAGTCAGTCAGTTCACCAGAAGGTGGTTCCCTGCTGTGGCAAAATATAAAATTCATCCTGGTGTGACCTTGTTTCTTCCACTGACTTGCAAGAAACTGAACATCCACACTTGTCTTGGTGAGATGAGCTCCGCATGGTGAACTTGCCTCAGATGACTGATAGATACACCTGGCATCTCATCTGTCCTCTCTGACACAGATAGAATAAATATAGAGTTCAAGCACAGGCATCATGTTTGCTGGTGGATATGAACTTTCCGGAATGTAGGGTCATGATTCTTCTCCAACCTTGCCCCATGGCTTCCATCCACAGCACTCCACATAGACCACAATTACTGACCAATAGCCAGATAGACTCTGCTGGGTGAGTCCTGTAAAGATGTGTGTCCATCACAGTGCGCCCAGCTGAGGATGATTCCTGTTGCTTTTCACAATCAGCTCATGGTGGAATGCAGGAGAGTCTCTGTCTTGATTCCACCTCAGTATTGGGCAGAATTTGAATGGTTGGATCTTGAGTGCAGGCTCTGTGTTTGTTTGACTCTATACAGTCACACTGTATCTAGTGTTTTGCTCTATGGTTGTATGTTTGTTTGTATTGGTTGTAGTATTAAGGCAACTAACTCTGCATAGTTAAAAGGGAGGTTTATTTTGTACAGTAACTTACAAGTAAAGGTATAGGGTCTGGGAAATGTGTAGCTCAGTCCAGCGGTATTCTCCAGAAAACTCCTCTTGGTGTACCTCCAGCGTCCAGGATTCAGGAACCAAAGAGCCAGCACATCCAAATCTCCAGTCTGAACATTTATTAGGTTTATCACCATCTGGAATCCTGCAGTGGCTCCTTGTGTGTCAAGTGCAGACTTCTGACAATACCCGCTGGACTCATCTTCTAGGATAGAATGTTCAGCAGCTCACTGGGGGCAGAGAGAGAATGATCTCTGTGCCCCCCAGCTCCTCACAGAGCCCAACAGGAAGTCATTTCGAGAGAATCCAGTCTAAGATTTTGTCCAGAGAATAATGGGTATCAGTTCTCCATCTTTGGTCATCAGGGAGACACTGGACATAAGTCTCTTAAGTAGCCTAGAACAGAGCCTGTCTTGGCCACTATTTGAATTCCTGGATATGCTTCTTTGGAGGATGGGCAGTAGGTTCATTTTTACCCTACATTTGCCCCCTCCCATCCTCTGATGCAGGTCTCCCCTTATCTCACACTCCACAATGGAGAGCTCAGCTCCATTCAG